TTAAAACAGATGATTCTGAGCAATGTCTATTTTCTCTTATGGTTACTGATTAGACATGGTGGTAGGTTAAAACATAGTGAGCCAGTTGTATATTTGGGAGGAAAGATTGATTTCTTTGACTACATGAATGTTGATCTTTGGGGTTTTATTACTCTTAATGAAAATGTGGAGGAATTGGTGTATAACTTAATTGAAACTATGTTTCAAAAAAATAAAAATAAAAAAACTTAACTGAAACTAAGTTCTACTCAGTTGTAGAAGATGGTTTGATAGAAATAATTTCAGATCGTGAGGCTTGGGACTTGGTGGATTTTGAAGGTAGACAAAGAGAAATTGAGATATATATGGGCTGTCGTAGGGGGTTTAGGTGCACAATTTAAGAGGAGGTCAATGATATAGCTAATGGTATTGATGGTGATAATAATGATATTGACTTAGATTATAACTTGTAGGGCTTTCTTGAAATGGTAATGAATTTACAAGAGATAGATGTGATGATATTGATTTTGATAAATGATAGATACCTTAAATTAGGTACTTAGCTTGGGAGCATGAGGAGTAGTCACTAGTCAGGCCCAACTACGGGAGTTCACTTAGCAATTCAAGAGAAAGGGCTTCTCTCGTAGCCGACGGCAGCGCGAGAACCCGGGAAACCAGGCCGCCAAGCGGGTATGTCCCCGGTCAAGGTTTTCGACTAGCTCAAGCGAGTGACCAGGCTCAGTAGTCGGTGTGTCCTTGACCAAGCCCCCAGAAGGGCTCGGGTGGGTGACCAGGCTCAGTAGTCAGGGTAACCATATATGGGTGTCTTAGCCTCCCTAGTCGGGCTACCAAGCAAAGCAGTCGATGCGTCCCCGACCGAGTGCGCATCCAAAGGTGGTTAACAGCGAATTCTGCGGCGATTCCTTTCTATGTTCAACAAGTAGCTTCCTTTTCTCAGTTTATGCAGTTACCGCATTAATTATGCTAGATTCATAAGCTAATTTAGTTGTTTTTTCTCCCTACTTACCTTATGAAGGATCTATCTTCTTGTATAAATACCCCTCGGGGTCATCATGTAAAAGGTCGGATTTTTAGAATAACATCTCATTACTCTGTCTCTTTTTTATCATCTACTCTCACTTTGTTACATTAATATTTTATGATAGTGTTGGCCCGCTGATCAGCTGCCTTAAGTCGTAAAACCAACATTGGAGTCATATATGGGGATCGAAACTAAAGGTCCCGTCTCTAAACTTTGCTAATGGCTCGCACCTGTCGTAGTAGTCAAAACGCTGGACGAAACGTCGTTGCTCCGACGGTCAATGGGCATGTCACCGTCGTTATGGACGCAGGAGAGCAACCTGCGGGTAGCCGCGCCTCCATCGGCGACTTGAGAAATTAGCCGTTGTGTTTCCGGTGAGATGTCAGCTACACGTACCGAGGGTACTGTCATAGTCTGTCGTGCCAACCCATGAAACACCGAGGGAGAACCCTTCGCTGCATTCCACTCAGGTCAAGCCAACCTTTGTTGAGTTGTTGGTGCAGGCCTTCGATGCGTATGCGCGTGGGCTGGGTCAGGCACCCCCTGTCATTCACCCACGACCTGCTCAGTCGGTTCCGGCCAAACATATGAACGTCGTGGTCTCAGAGCATTCAGTGCGATCAGAAGGTCGTTCACCGGGTTATCTTCGACCTACCCGTTCTCTACACTCGCGGCTAGGCCCCGCAACCCCTTCTCAGTCGGTATTGAATCGACTGGGAGGCGGAGCCGAGCAACGCTCCCCCGCCCAATCAGTCAGGAGGGGCAGAGAGCGGCCCGAGGGAGAGGTGCCGTGAGCGGTCATCCAGAGAAAAATAACCTCGAGGCGCATGCAAGCGGCAGTCGATGCAGCCGCTATGGAAGGTAGCAGGGAATTGCTCGTGGTCCGAGATCTGGTGCTTGGAATGGCTGATTTGGTCGCTGCTGTTAAGGAACTGCAACAAAAGATAGAGGAGAAAGGCAAGCCAACTGCCAAGACCCTGTTGACAACTTCTCCGTTCTCGGCAGAAGTGTTGGCATACAGGGCTCCGCCCGGGTTCAAGCTGCCTGAGCACTCCACCTACGATGGGTCTGGAGACCCGCGCGACCACGTAATCAGCTTTCAAGCCAAGATGCAGGTGGTCCGGGCCGAGGACCCCATGATTTGTCAGGCGTTCTTTCCGACCCTAGTCGGGCTCGCCCAACGATAGTTTTTGAGGCTTTCCAAGGGATCAATCACTAATTTCGAGGATATGGCCGACCATTTCCTCACACACTTCGTATGAAGTATGAAACCCAAGAAGTACATCTCGGATTTGTCCCGAGTTCACCAAGACGAAGGGGAAAGCCTGCGTAAATACAAAGCACGCTGGCAAAAGGAGGCCCATGCATTCGAGGGCTTGGATGACCAGACTGCTTTGAGATTCTTTATTGAGTCCCTCCGAGCGGATGGTCATTACAGTAAATTAAGGGATGAAAATCCTACATCGTACGCCCAAGCTATCCAAAGGGCTAACCAGCTAGTAGATACGGAAAGTGTAAACAAGAAGTTTTCACCAATAAGCGACCCTGGGCGGATAGCGCCTAGGATAATCGAATGGAAGAAATGAGTGGTATATGCGTGAGAGCTCGTCGGGTGTAGGACCGACTGGGAGCTCCCGCGTACCGACTAGTGGCGCAACCCGTTCATGAAGTCCGCACTCAGTTACCGCCACCTCCCCCATTAGGCTGGGAGACAACCTGCAAGTGGTCAATACGAGCGTAGCCCCTTATTGCTGGTATCACCGCACGAACACTCATACTACAGAAGAATGTGAAGGTCTAAAAGAAGATATTGAGGCGCTTATACAACATGGTCGCCCGTTATCCCCAATCAATGGCGCCGACCAGGCTTGCCTTGGCATAAGGATGCACCCACCCGACCGGCAGGGAAGGTGGTAGATAAGGGCAAGCAACCTGTCCAAGAGGAGGACTCGGATAAGAATTAGAAGCATAAGGCGGTCATCAACATGATCGTAGACGGACCCGAGGGCGGTGACACATGTGATGAAAAGTGTAATACTTATGAGAAATAATTCAAAGTAAAATTAAATTTGTGTTTTATATTTGGAAGTTGGGATCGCCAACTACGAACCACCCACAATACTATTATAATACTTATGATGAAAAGTGTAATACTTATGAAAAATTTGATCCATGAATGAGGATCCGTAGTATTGCACTAAAGATTTTAGGGATAAAATACAAATAAGCCATTGAACTATTTGGAAAACAGCAATTAAGCCATCGAACTCAAATAACCCTCAAACAAGTCATTGAACTCGAAAAAAAGCAAATAAGTCATTAAACTCGATAAAAAAAATAAAAAATAAAAAAAAAAAAAAAAAAAAAAACCCATTAACATTTTAACAGGTTAACTCCAGGTTTTTGCTGACTGGATTGTCAAATGTTTATTTTATTTACATTTTTATATATTATAATCTACCTACATAGTAATATATTTTAAAGTAATTATAATCAAAATAGTTTTGTCTTGTCGATTTGATTGATTTATTTATTTATTATTATTTTTTCACTGGATCTTTTGTTTAAAAAAGGGGATAAAGTAAAAATAAGCCACTGAACTATTTGAAAAACATCAATTAAGTCATCGAACTCAAATAACCCTCAAATAAGTCATTGAATCCGGGAAAAAAAAAAAAAGAGCAAATAAGCCCTTGAACCCGGAAAAAAAAAAAAAGAACAATTAACATTTTTAACAGGTTAACTCTATGTTTTTATTGATTGAATTGTCAAATGTTTATTTTATTTACATTTCTTATTATTAATATTAATATTAATATTAATATTGTCCACTTGGATAATATTATATTTTAAAGTAATTATAATCAAAATAATTTTGTCTTGTCAAGATTTGATTTATTTATTTATTATTATTTTTTCACTGGATCTTCTGTTTTAAAAATAATAATAAATAAATAAATTAGATCTAGACAAGACAAAACTATTTTGATTATAATTATTTTAAAATATATTAGTATGTGGTGGATTATAATGAAAAAAACGTAAATAAAATAAACATTTGGCAATCCAGTCAGCAAAAACCTGGAGTTAACATGTTAAAAATGTTGTTTGCTCTTTTTTTCAGGGTTCAATAGCTTATTTGGGGATTATTTGAGTTTGATGGCTTAATTGATGTTTCTCAAATAGTTCAGTGGTTTATTTGTACTTTATCCCTTTAATAATAATAAATAAATAAATAAATTAGATCTAGACAAGACAAAACTATTTTGATTATAATTACTTTAAAATATATTACTATGTAGGTGGAGTATAATAAAAAAACGTAAATAAAATAAACATTTGACAATCTAGTCAGCAAAAACTTGGAGTTAACCTGTTAAAAATGTTAATTAGTCTTTTTTCCTAATTCAATGGCTTATTTGGGGGTTATTTTTTGTTCGATGACTTAATTGTTGTTTCTCAACTGACAAATCCTACCATTATATTTCCGTTTTTCATTTGGATTAGAACCCATTGAGGGGGCGTTTAGTTGCTTATTTGTACTTTATCCCATGATTTTATACTTATAAAAACTTTGACAAAAGATTTTACAAGAAAAAAAAAAAATCAAAATTGAAATTAATTCAAAGTAAAATTAACTTTTTGTTTTATATTTGGAACCAAAAATAATACTTGACTCCAAAAACCTACTCCCACTTTTTACCTATACTTGTCTTTAAATTTTATTGGAGGAAAAAACTAATGGATAAAAATAAAAATTATATACATCGGACTCTTAAATTTTACTTCTTGATGTGGCGGACACGGATAAACTATTTTTTTCATGTGAGTCTGAATACAAATATCTATATCAAAGATTTTGTGAGTGAAAATAAAAATTAAGAGTACATATAATATTTTTCTAAAAATAATGATCTCTTGTATTAAACAATTAATTAAAGCATGTAAAAGATGAAAGTATAAAATAGGAGCATAAGGCTCTGAAATGCCAAAAAGATCACAACACTTTTCACTACTTTTTCCACTTTTTTTCTCTCTCTTCTCTATTCTTCCAATTTCCAAGCACCATGGCGATGTTGTCATCTGCCTCTCCAACTCACTTCCCATCTTTCTCTCCTTCCAAATCCAACCTTTCTTCCAAGCTCTTTCACTCCCTCACTCCGCGAAAGCTTCACTTCTTGGTCCACACCAGCGCTGCCGGGCAAGAAAAGGGGAGTGGACCTCCTGTTGCGGTTGAGGACTCTACTCTGAGCTCCAATGGGTCGCCTGCATCGGTGGCTGCCGGAGCTCCGGCGCCGGAGGTTGTCAGCAAGTTCCGAGATCCTCGATGGGTTGGAGGGAGTTGGGAGTTGCGTCAGTTTCAGACCGATGGGAAGACCAATTGGGATGGTGTGATTGATGCCGGTGAGCAAATATTATATTACCCCTCAACTCGATCTCCGATTTATGCAAATATTATACGTAATTGAGGTTTGTTTTCTAACGTTAATTATATTGAATTGGTTGCAGAGGTTAAGAGGAGGAAATGGTTAGAAGATAACCCGGAGACATCGAGCAACCAAGATCCTGTGGTTTTTGACACTTCCATTATTCCTTGGTGGGCATGGATGAAGAGGTTCCACCTTCCTGAAGCTGAAATCCTTAATGGTTAGTTTACAACTGTTAGTGTGGGACTTAGCCTTTTAAGTCCTAAACTTGACTTTTATAGGTCTCCACCTAACAATTTTTACTGGGCATTAGACTGGCCTCCGCCTAATGATCTCTATTGGGATTTTAGATTGATCTCCGCTCAACATTCTTCAGTAACCACTAGGTGTTAGACTTGATATTTATCAACCTCCGCCTATCATTATTATCGGGATTCGAACCTCTGCCCAACAATATACCTGACTTAGATACCACATGTTAGATCAAGCGTATATCACTACACCAAAAGCTATAGCTGGTAGCAAAGGCGCAATTTTATTTTCCTGTCGACTTCATCACGTTTTCGAAAGGCTTGGTTCTAGATTTAGCCTTTTAAATCCTTTACCAACCTCCGTCCAACAACTACCCAGTCACTGAGTACTAAACTTGGCATTTACCGACCTATGTCAAACAAAAACCAACATTAAAACCTTGAATCCAACCAATAATTAGCTACCCTAATAACTCACACAATTATAAACCTATTTCAATAATTTGTTAATGATTAAGAATGTATTTTATATAATGCTAGAAATTATGAAATTTTCGACCACCTGAAAGTGATCTTATATCAAGTTGAAAATAAAAAGTGATCGGAAATAGCAACAAAAGTTTTTCCGGATACTAAAAATGGTCGGAAGAAGACTTTCGACTTGATTTAAGATCATTTTCAGGTGGTCAGAAATTCCATAATTTCCAGCAGTGAATATATATATGAATTGAATTATTATCATTTGCTCTGCTGAAATTGCAGGGCGAGCTGCAATGGTAGGATTCTTTATGGCTTACCTGGTTGACAGCTTGACCGGATTAGGCCTAGTGGATCAAATGGGCAATTTCTTCTGCAAAACCTTGTTGTTTGTAACAGTAGGTGGAGTTCTTTTGGTCCGAAAGAATGAGGACATAGAAGCACTGAAGAAGTTTCTAGAGGAGACAACATTCTACGACAAGCAGTGGCAGGCAAGTTGGAAAAAAGAGATTTCCACCGACTCTAATTGATTATTAATTAAGCTTTAATCTGTTGTATAAGCTAAGGTTTCAGAAATTTTATATGTTTAATTAGTCAGTGCGACTGAAACTAAGTATTTGTGTTCTTAAGATCGATGCATTACAGTACATCCTATGTTCATCATCATCTTCCTAGTTGATTGATTTTATGATGGCTGTTGTGTTGGAAAACATTATCAAAATTCACATTTCAATTTGTCATTTTGTGGTACTAATATATGCATGTGAGGTCAGGTCTACTCCTGATTTGGGTTGAGTCAAATGAATTTGGATTCTCCTAAATGAGACGGAGATCAAAATTTATATATTGTACATTCAAAATAAATAATTGATGAATGTCAAATTGATTCACAAAGAATGGAAAGGGTTTAAGAAACTTTTGTCCCACGTTGAAAAATAAATGATTTTGTACTGTAAGTGTAAAATATTTTTACACAATATTGGCAATTTTATTTTTGTTTTACTAGTGTTAGTTTTAAATTAAATTAGAGTTGCTAATTCATTATGGACCACGTGAAGATCACAATTAGTGGACAACAACATAATTAGTGGACAGCATTCCTTGTATTCTTAAAGTCCACAAAGAAGCTCTCAAATTGAGTGGATGAGGCATGTTCGAACAGTGTGTTGCTAAGGGAAAGGCTACATGGGTGGATCAAGACAAACAAGGCTTATGAAAGGATTATAAATACACACAGTTCGAAGGAAGCAATTGCCGATTTGAGAATTATACATTGCGAGAGCTCTCCTGATTTTACAAAGCAATTTCTATTTTAATTGTAATTTCTGATTTAATTCGTAAGAATATTTATATTGTACTGCATGATCAGTACGTGGTACTGCTGAAGCAACTTGTGAAGATTGTTCGGGTATTCGTGTGTCAGTCCTGGATAGGTGTTAGAAAGAGTGGTAGTGGTAAAGGCTGGAGGCCATCTTCGTTTACCTCTTGTAATACTCCTTTTGGTGAACATCTATAGTGGATTGGGCAGACGTGGGTTGCCCCGCAGACGTAGGAGAAGGAGCTCCGAACTGCGTAACAATTTCCTTGTGTTTTTAATTTACTTTATGCTTTCTGCAGTTATTATTTATTCTTGCATAAACGAGTTTAATTAATTAACTAAATTGGTGCATAACTTAATTAACATATAAAAACACATAGCGTTTATATTTCAAGTGTCACGGTACAATTTCATGTACTAAGTATATATTTACCTCATTTTTTTTTTAAGGAAACTAGGAATGTGTTGTTAGAAGCTTTGCTTGTGTAGCCAGCTTCAACGAACAATTTCCGTGTTGTTGTTTAAGGGATTATTTCCTTACTTTTATACCCAATTGTCGCACCATTTTGCCTTCCCGGAAATGTAATTTTGAGACTTATTATTCACTCATAAGTTGCATTATCATATCCTATTATCAAAGATGCATACTTTAATTTGATTGCGCGCAGTTCTTTGACCATCCATTTCTTTTTTGCTGTTTTCTTCTTGTTTTATTGGAAACCTGTCATTTTCCCTTGGTTTAGTCAGTTTAAAGAAGTGGGCAATTGGTTAATTGACTAGTAGATTATGGATGTCCAAGATAGTGGTTTACTGCCATCTTTAAGAAACTTAGATGACTGGTTGTCTCATGATTCTGCATTTCTGCTCTGCCATCATAGAAAAGGATGGTTACCAGAAAAAAATACATAGACAAAATTTTTGGGGAAAATGAAATATTTGTTTAAAAAAAAAAAAACCATTCAAAAGGTGTGGACTTAAGTTACTCAAGAGAGCTTGGAGTGGAAAATGTCAACCACTTGAAAACTCGCAGTCATTATATGAGGGTCTTTATTGAGTAAACCTGGCCTTGTGACCCTAACCGACAAAGGACTATAAGATAAACTAGCCTAGGTTGTCCATAGCTGACGAGTTCAAACCAAAAAGGCTGAAATTCAAACTCTTGACCTTGTAGTTACAAGTCTATATTATTAACCAATTTAGTTGGGATTATCCTAAAGTCGTATTTGATTCTTGTTAACACTCTTTGTATAATTCTTATACTTAATTCTCGCTACATAAGATACTGTTTAGTTCGCGACCTATTACACAACAGTAAAATTTACCAAATTCACATCCATACGATCCATTCATATACCAAGCTGTGTGGCACATAAGGACATAAGGTATAAAGTTCCCCCCACCCCTTCTCTCACGTCCCAACTAGCTTTAATGCCCATGAAGCAATTTTGGCAAAGCCAGCTACCAGTAAGAACCATGTTGGCCATGATATAGATGATAGATCCCTATGGATTACTAGTCTGGTTCAGTTTTGGTGCATAATGCTAGGAGGGGCCCTACCCCCACCCCATCCAATTGTTATATCGTGCACCACGGCGCACAATGCATTGTGCGTCCTAAAAATTATCTGTTTCGTATGTACATAATTGTATAATAAAATACACATAAACTCCTAACATAATATACATAATTTAACATAATACATAATACACATAAACTCTTAACATAATAAACATGAACTCTTAACATAATATACATAAACTCTTAACATAATACATATAAACTCTTAACATAATACACATAAACTCTAAGGACCCACAATGCATTGTGCACCCTGGTGCACAATATAATTTGCCCACCCCATCCCTCTGCGTGTATATATATATATATATATATATATATATATATATATATATATATATATATATATATATATATATATATATATACTAGTTTTACACGCGCATTGCGCGAATGAGTTAATGTCCAATGTTTATAATTAAATAAATATTTGAAAATATATCCATACAAGATTATATATGAGAACGAAGTTCATACATAAGTAATTTAATGTCGAATTTGTTTACTTAAATATGTAACTCATACTATATGAATACAATGTAATATAGGAGATTTATTATAATTGTTACTAAACTTTTTTGAATAGTAACCAAGTATTTTTGTTGCAAAGGGTTCTAATATATTTAATGAATGCACATATATACAAGATCAATGAATGAATGAACGATACCAATCCTTTAGGTGTTTTGCTCAGTGTTCATTTAGTTCAACCATTATTGTTGAATAAATTATTATGGATAAAGAAATTCCTAATTTAACAAATTTAGATAAAGTAGTAAACATTTTAAATTTTAAATTTTAAATTATAATGTAACCCAAAAATATTGGACGATTATTGGTAAACATGATGTAACCCAAAGATCAAAATGCTAAAGAAAGTGTTTGTTTATTCAACAGTTTAAAGCAACAATTTGTTCCAAGCCACTGAAAATACAAACATTGCAATTTACAATATTTTCACTTAGCGTTTTTCAGAATGATTTCCCTAAAACACCTCTATATTTTTATTAAAAAAAAAAAGGTTAAAACTGTAGAGCCATTTTGACTCCTTGAATAACAAGAGTCAGTTTCGTTGGCTCACTGCTTGCCCATAAACGGATGGACAAACTTATTTTTAAATTGGAGCCTTAAGGCTCATTTTATAGGAGCCTCAAGGCTCCCAAGCCACTTTTCCCACCGATGTGAGAAAAGTGGCAAAACTAAGGGGAGCTGAACGTTCGGCTCCCCATATGTTTTTTTTAATTATTTTTTTTTATTAAATTACTATTATTATTATCTTTATTTTTTAAAAACAATTATTTATTATTATTATTATTATTATTATTATTATTATTATTATTATTATTATTATTATTATTATTATTATTATTATACCCTTAGTCCATTTTACATGTTAATCTAAATAGTTAATTTTTTTAAATATCTTTTTACCAACCGTTGACATAATTCGCTGGTCAAATCCGCTAATATAATCTGTTAACGCTAACCGCTAGCTGCTGATTGACAAACAAGGACATTACGAGATAGTTTCTTACAATTTGTTGTGTGATTTGAATACTCTCTTTGTCAACAAATCCCTCAAGTAGTTAATATGATTGACTTAATTATAATTTTTAAATTTTTTATGGTATTAATAAAATACTTGGTAAATAAATATATAGCATTATTTTGTATTATAACTTTGATATTTAATTAAAAATAGTGCACAAAAAAAGATAATAAACCGTGTAATGAATATAATCAATTGATGAATTTGAATGTAAAGATATTTTACATTGGAGAAAAATAAAGACAATATAACTAATGAAATTATTTCTCTTAATTAATTTATTGATAATGAATTTTTTTTTTTGAATAAAGACATTGTAGGGGCAATGTGTCGAATATAATCAATTGATGAATTTGAATGTAAAGAATTTTTATATTGGAGAAAAATAAAGACAATATAACTAATGAAATTATTTCTCTTATTTAATTTATTGATAATGAATAATTTGTTTTGAATAATGACATTATAGACACATAATTCTAAATTAAAGAAATGCATATTTATTATTTTTTGTTATAGCTACTAAATTATTATTTAATTTAATAAGAGTAAAGTAGAGTACTAATTATTCCACTCTTTGATTGGGATGAGGCTCGAACCTAAGACCTTATTGAAAACAATGAATAAGTTAACAGTGAACTAACAGAAATTAACAGAGAAGATAATATTTAACGAAAAAGTTAACGGATAATCATATAATTAAGAATAAATTAGAAAATCTTAAGGAAAAATTAAAATATGATCAATCTGAGCCATTCATTTGATTACAAATTTTGACCGCCATTTTTTCTATCCATTATAAGCCTAACTCTCTTGGGCTCTTATTAGTGTATATATATATATATATATATATATATATATATATATATATATATATATATATATATATATATACACATACGTACACACACACATATAAGTAAATAATATGAGTTAATACCTTCAATGGTCCTTCGAGTATTGTGCTTTTACTAGCAAACGTTCTCCAAGTATAAAATGACCAACAAATATCTTCCGAGTATCAAAAAGTGACCACTTGTAGTCTTTCGTTAGCAAATGTGTGAAAGTGGCGTTAAATTGAAGGGTAACTGAGTGAGTCGTAAATAAAACGCCACTTTCATGCATTTGCTAACGGAAGACCACATGTGGTCATTTTTTATACTAGGAGGACATTTTTTTGTCACTTTTTGATACCTGGAGGACATTTGCTGGTAATAGCACAATACTCGAATGACCATTGGAGGTATAAACTCTAAATAATAAAAACATATGTTAAATAAAGACAAAGTACCTTA